CGTGGGTGTGTGTGTGTGTGTGTGTGTGTGTGTGTGTGTGTGTGTGTGTGTGTGTGTGTGTGTGTGTGTGTGTGTGTGTGTGAGAGAGAGATCACGCGCGCGCGCACACACTCACAGTCACCAGCGATACACAGATCACAGTCATGGCTGTGAAGTGTGACATATGTATATACATTATTTTCGAAGGTTCTGAAAAATCACTGGCAGCGAACGAGTTAATGGCATTTTTTTTTGTAACCGAGATCGAGAGAGAGATTACCTTGCAACAAATCTCATTTTTTCATGTCACCCCCTTTTTCTATCACCGTTTTCATTTTTCACTTTGACAGTTAAATTGTTTTCCACAAATACATTGTTCACAAAGACAGTATTCTCCTTGAATGTCATTTCCATAAATTAATGTTTCGTCTCAACTAGCTTCGTTTGACCGGCAGAACGCACCACACGCAGACACTGTAGGTGGAGTCTAAAGTAAGGAAGTGAGTGTAAAGTGACACTATTCTGAGACAGCGGAGAAGCATAGCATGAACTTGACTTCCTCATGGCACGTTCCTCACGAACAGATCAGAACTTGCCATAGTGCGACGTAAATTTGGTAAGGGCGACGTTTGAAAGCTGCTCCACAGTGACACTTTTCACACCCAACAACGAAATGATTACTTTTACAGTTGAGGGACACAAGCGGGGAAAACAACGCTTACCTTTCTTGAATGGAATCACAACATCTGCTGGCGGATAGTGCCGATGCAACCCGCAGAGATTACGGATGCTGGTCGGGGAGAGAGCTCCGGGACCCGACGAGGCGGGCATTCCCGGTCAAATGCCGTTCGAGCAGTGTCAGTGGACAAGCAGGTGATACCCGATCGATGTTTAATTTCAAATTGGTCATGAGTTTGAAAAGACTAAGTTCTAAGGCCTCGATCCGGAAACGTTTATGTGATTTACCACTTTGTATAATTTGAACACATTCACGTCAAATTCAAGCGCTACGACACCCGTTTTCGACCACCGCTTCAAATATAGAACATATTTGATTAAATGGCGTGCCACATTGACAACGCGTACAGTGGTCGCAGTGACTGAGTAGACGTAAAACGACCAAAACAGACGTTGTGAAAACGTTCAATCCGAGCGAGTTAAATATCTCTGAATGTTTCAGTTTGATCTTCGCTCCCAGTCTGTTTTTGGGACGGTCTACAAATTATATGTTCTTGGCTGACATGTGGAACAAATGACCATAAATCAACTAAGATTATTTCCATTCTAAATTTAGTAGTAGCTGGAAATGGTAGACCACTACTTTATACAGCTGACACTGTGCTGATATCTATCACTAGGGAGAAATACGAGTCACAAAAATATTGAACAAATATCAATTACAATCAGTGGCGGGCTGTGCATTTCAACCTTATGCCTTGAGTGACGTCACATACATGAGCACAATACTGTATAGGCTCGTCAAGCAGCACTTAATTTCAGGAGCATTTAAAACCATCAAGTATGCATTCACAATTAAGAGCAGGAAACTAAATTTACAGATATTGTCAAAAATAAAAAGATGATTTAAAAATAACGAAATAAAATGCCACTCAAATTACGCTGTGTGATCTTAAACAAGTCTGTCCAATAAATTGCGCAATGTCGCAGTTTCATATAAGACACCAACCAAACAATAACAAAACAAACTGTTCTTTGAAAATAAAGTAAACAGATCATTTGCATTTTGAAAATCGACGATACAACAGCAAATAACTGGCATAACTGACTAACTAATAACTGACTAACAGCTGAGATTGAACGAACTTTCGTGCATGAAGGTGACTGCAATGCGCCATTATAAATTGCAGGTGAGCAGATTTATTTGATACATTTTTGT